ACCAGTGAGATTTCAGTGGTCCTTTCCTTCAAACCCGGTCCTTTCCGTCAGACTTTAGCGCTACCCGGAGGTCCTTTCCTTCAGACCTAGTCCTTTCCGTCAGACTTAGCGCTACCCGGAGGTCCTTTCTGACAGACCTATTCCTTTCCGCCGTTGATGTTGAAAATGTGAAGCAAAAGCCTAAAGATTAAAATTTGCAGCTTGCATTTCTATAGCTGGCAAATGGTTGCTTCCACTACAGCCCCAAACTAATATTTAAGAATGGATCAATGCTGACAATTTATAGGATGCAGCTTAAATCTCTGCCTGTACTGTTAGAATTTTAAAACCCGCTCTGCAGTACAGCTAGCTTGGCTATTTACCCCAGATTACTTTGCCTCCCTGAGTCACGAGGCCAAGCTCGCTCACGTTCACCTCAATGACGGTGCCTTTGGTAATTACACCCAGTGCTGTATATAAAGGAGAAGAAGGATTCTTCTTTACACCAAGGATAGGTAGGCAAAAAGTAGCTTTAAGTTCAGGATGTGTCATATGTGCCTTCTTGAAACGTAAGCCCTATTTCATAAGGAACATTGGGACAAGTTAGTACTTAAACTCTCATGATTAATTTAAATGTTTTTGTATTATGTACTCAGCTTCATGCATTTTAAGACAGTAGAAATAACAAAAGCTTAGAATATGAAGTGTTACCTGTGACACAATACTAGATTTGTTAAAACCTGATCGATGACAAGGTGAGATAAAACTATGTATATTTTCAGGATACCAATTTTTAATAGTAGTGCAAGAAGAATGCTAGCTATCCCAGATGGATTCTGTCCATGAAGAAATCAGGACTTAATGGTAAAGCATTTTACAGTCTTACTGGTTTTCAGACTTGAGACTTTCTTCTTGTAAATCTGAAAACTCTTTCACAAACCATATCAAACACCCATCTCTAACAGCACTTTTTGTCTAGTGACCTGGAGGTGTTTTGCAAAGGAGGCTTTACCATAACCCTCTCTGTGTCAGTAAAATTCTACCAAAGGCCTCTGTGTACAATAAGTGTCAAACTAGGAATGGAGAATAGCCCAATGGGCAACGACTGCTTTTGTCATTTCCTGTGTGGAAACAGGAGTAGCTGTTTATAGCAAGAGATGCTGTCCTGGACAGTCTAACCTCTCCTGGGCACTCCCAGACAGTCAGAGCTCAGCTGATGCCAATAAGCAAAGAGAGATTTCAGTGCAGAGAGAGGGTTATGGCTGCAGGGGAACACCCCTGCCCCCAAGCTATTTCAAGTTCAGATTTCTTCAAACATACTAAGAAGAATATTCTAAATTATTAGTTTAACCAGGTGTGTTATAGTAAAATGAAGTCTCCTTGCCCCTGGAATACAGAGCAGTAAGTAAACAATTTCTTAAACATTCTTTAAGTCTCAAGAACATCAGCAGAAGCAACAGTAAGTATCCAAATTTATTAATACAGTTACTTACAGCTTTTTCTTTTTTCTTCTGTTTGATCATGTTAGAGAACTTTAGCTTGGGACTGGCCCTCTCTGTCCAGCAGATATGCTGGTACGGCTCCTTTAGGTGTTTTCTCATCATTCTTTTCCTTTGTGTTTCTCTTTTTGTGCATTTTAAGGCTGCAAGAAAAGAAAGACTTTTTAAAATCCCACTCGGTATTGAGAGCAGAAAAAAGTACTTTTGTAGATGAAAGGTATGAAAAACTGTCCTTTCACCTTAAACCCGTGCATACTCAGAGCTTATTTTGAAGAGATGCATTTGTTAACAAATCAAAGTAGTACATGTTTATACTGAAAGATTAACTTCAAGTATTTTTCATGGGAAACCAGTGATCTCACTTAATATAACAATTCTGAAAGACTATTCAGAGTGCATGGAAAGCCTGCCTGTTTCTTTCAAGACAGAGGTTCGTAATATTTGCTAAGAAATTACTGAATGGCTTAAAACGAGCACAGTAACTCTCAAAGCCAAGCACTTTGAGGGTTAATAGCTGCCTTCTCTTAACCAAAACCTGCTACTCTCGTGAGATGTGATAGCAGAACTTCAGTTTTGGAGTGTGGGGTGCGTCTGTAAAGGCACTAGAGTAGTCTAGTCTGTTACCTTTGAGGCTGTTTTCAAAAAGCAAAAACAAAACAGCTCCCCCTTCCCAGCCTATAATTAGCTCAATACCTTACAAGTAGCTGAGAAAATAACTGGCTACGCTTGGAAAACAACAGAAACAGCACAGGGTAAGAGATAAAGTTCATTAACAGTAGATCAATGCTGTAAATATTTTTGATTTCAAGTCCTGAACACTAGAGAAAGTTCTGCAGAAAAATGCTTTTCTTTAACTAAGCTTGATATGGTAGCTTATTCTGGAGGATCAGCTCAGTGCTCAGATTTGTGTGTTTTTGTCACGGTTGCATTTCAGTAATCCCTACTGCTAGTTACTGCGTATCTTAGCTTGTACTACCAGCGTTATTATTAACTACTCATGGCAGGAAGGCGCAGAAGGGAGGGAGGGGGGTGGTCGCAGTGCCAGTGTGAGAGCCCAGCCCAGCTCTGACTCCTCCCTCCCTCGCTGTGCGGCCGTTACTCATGTCTTCTTCACCTGTATCTTCTCAGCATGCCACTGCTTGTGGTAGAGCTTGGCCTTCAGCCCAATCATCATCTTGGCCTTCCTGGAGCACTCGTGCACCTCCCGGCCCTCCTTCCTGCGGCGCTCATGGTAGTCGAGGCGGCGCCCGTAGCGCTTGTGGTGCAGTTCGATGTGCTCGTTCTGCGGCTGCGGGCGGGCAGCGGGCACGATCAGTGGGCAGCGGAGCCACCACCCCGCTCAGCACCCCAGGACTCCCAATTTCTGCCCCCCCGCCCCTGCCCCTTGCTCCTCACCATGGCTCTGGCCCTGTATGCTCAAAGGCCTCCTTGAGT